TTCTTTTGAATCAGTGGTTTTTGAAACTGACGGAGTTATTTTTTTCTTCCTGTTTTAGAACAGTCTAGAAATTGGAGCACTAGTTGGTTTTTATCTATATTTAATTGAGATTCTTATACATTGTAATCATGAAAATGTTTCTGAATACTTTATCTTTTTTTCAGAATGAAATTCACCAGAATTAGTACTCCCAAAAAGTCTAAGAAAAAATCTAAGAAAAGATCTGAGAAATCTGAAGCAACTGATGGAGATTTTACTTCTCCAACCAGAAAGGTAATTAAAATACTAGAGAGTCCTAAAAGTGGCATTCCATTCCCCTAAAAATAAAACAAAAAGCCACACTACTATTGGAAGTAATCAGCCAAAAGAAAATTCATAGGTTTCACAAATTGATTAACTACAACCCTATATTATTTTTAACTATAATTCCATTCCTCTAGTTAGGTTATTAAGATATTTTATTAAGATATCTTATTGTGAGGTGAATGTAATCGATAAGGGCATAGTATAATTTACCTCAAAAAAGCTTTCTTAGTTTACATTCCAATAATTTTCTCTAAGTCTGCCTGTCTTAGTTTGGGCTGCTATAACAAGTTATAAACTGGTGACTTAAACCGCGGAAATTTATTCTCACAGTTCTGGGGATTGGGAATTCCAAGATCAAAGTGCCAGTCTATCTAGTGTCTGGTAAGGTTTGCAGATGACCTCACGTGGTGGAGAGCAGGCAGAGTGAAGTCTCCGCCCTCATGACATAATTACTTTCTAAAGGCCCCACCATCACATTGGGGGTTAGGATTTCAACGTATGAATTCTGGGGGGACACATTCAGTCTGCCTATAGGTCATGATTGAATTTTTGGTTTATTTCTATAACTTAGAGGCTCATAAGTAAAGTTCAGTCTTGGTATCGTTGATGTTTCGGGTGGATAATTCTTTGTTGTGGCAGGCTGTCCTGTGCATTGTAGGATATTTAGCAGCAACCCAGCCTCTACCCATAAGATGCCAGTAGCACCCCAACTCCTGTAGTCGTGGCAGCAAAAAACGTCTGCAGATGTTGCTAAATATCCCCTGGAGGGGAAAAAACCACCCCTACTTGAAAAACCACAGCTCTGAAGGGAGAGGTATATGATATATAAGAATAGTTTAGTTGGTTCTGCAAAATAAGCTGCTTGTCCCCACCGTGGGAGAATTGGATTGTCTCCAGGATGAGTAGGTATAGGCATGTGTGTTTTGAAAAAGCCATCAAGGTGACACTGATATAATCCTTGGGTGAAAACCACTGCTACAGAAAGTTGGTATCTCTTTTTTTTTTATTTAACAGCTGTCGTACTTTTGACTGCTTATCACATTCTAGGCATTGTGCTTAGCACTCATATCATTATTGTCATAAAGTAAATATTTAACATTTTTTTTATTAGTGGATAGAATAGTGGAAATTCTCATAAAGTAAATATCATTTAACCTTGTTTTGTAGATGAGGGAACTTGCAGTTTATGAGATGAGGAAACGTGTTTTTATTTGTGACTCTGGGAAGAATCTTTCCTAGAGTCATACAACTATGAGTAGTTGGAAAGATAGTCCTTAGCCTATTGGAAAACTGACTGTACCACAGCTAAAGATTAAAGTCTCTGAGGTGAACTTTATCCCATATATTTTGTTCTTCCTGATAATAATTCTAGAGGATAAATTCAACTTTAATTTTAGAAATATTGTGCCTTGGTTTGCATCATGTACTCCTTAGAATTGGGATTCAGTAATAAATTTTCCAGCAAGACCAACGTCAAAATTAAATATATCCAAATTGGGGCCCTTTTGAAATTACTTAGATCGGTTATTTTATCTCACAGTCTGTCATTGAACCTCGTACCACAGGGCCCTTGTTCTCTGAAGCCTTATCCAGGCTTGTGTACTACATCTAGGAGAAGATCTTAGTAATTTTCTGGGAGAGATTTTTCATGTTTTTATTAGAATGAGGAGCAAACTGGTTTTCCTAAGAGCACCATAGTCGTAACAGCTTA